AAATCAGGTAGTGTTACTCCTTAAACTATTCTGCCTTTTCAAGTTACTTAGGTATTTTAATTCCTTTGAATTTTCACATAAATTTTAGATTCAGTTTGTCAATTTCCACACCAAAAAAAATATATATATATATGTCTACCGAACTGTTGATTGCCACTGTATGAAATCTACAGATATATCTGGAGACAATTGATATCTTAACCATAATGAGTTTTTCATTGTTCTTTAATATGGTTTACCTCTCCATTCATTAATGATTTCTTTACATACCTTAAATTGTTTTGTACTTTTCAATATGCAGGTCTTTCACATTATTTATTGTATTTATCCTGAAGTATTTCATGTTTTATACTTTTGTAAATGCTACTTTTTTTCAAATAGCATTAATAGTGGATAGAAATACCACTGATTTTATGTATTGATCTTTTATCTCTCATCCTTGCTAAACTCACTTCTAATAGCTTTTCTCTATTGTAAAATCTGTTGAATTTTGTACATAGATAAAACAATCATATTGTCTGCAAATAAGGATAATTTACCTCATACATTATAATTTTGCTCCCTAGAAGTAAGATTTGAGTTAAAAAAACAAAAAAAACAAAAAAAACCTTGTGTCAGTGCTTGACTTTTTAAACCTGTGGAGTATAATTACAATACCTTTCATATGCTTATCTGATTCTAACGTCTATGACAGTCCTGAGTTAGTTTGCAATAAATGTTTTTCTCCTCCTTAGAGGTGATATTTTCCTGCTTCTTAGCATGCCTGATGATTTTGTATAGGATGTAGACATTGTGAATCTTACCTGTGTAGATTCTCAGTACTCCTGTATTGCTATACATTTTCTTCATATTTTTTATGAGATAATTGTGTGAAATAATTTTACCTTTTTGGTTATTTCTTTTAAAATTTGTTAAGTGGCAGTGTTCAGTCTTGGGCCAATTTTCTCACTGCTTAAGTCAAATTCTTCTGATACTCTATCCAGTGCCCCATGAATATGGAGGATTTACTGTTTGGATGTTAAGACCAAGCTCTACTTCTGGCCCTATGTGAACATGAGGCACCATTGACTTTAATTCTTTAGGTGGTTCTTTCCCTGGTCTGTTTCTTCAAATGCATGCACTGATCTCTCTACTCAGCTAAATAATTAAGAGAAACCCTCTCGTGTCTCCAAAGTTTTTATCTGCACAGTATTCTCCTCTTCAATACACTGTTCTGTGAATTCTAGGTGCCTTGGTTTCCTCAGACTCTGAGCTCCATCTCAACTCTTCCACGATGTGCACTACCTAAATTTACCATCACTGAGCCATGGCCAGAAAATACCCCAACACAGTGGTAGGCATTGGCAGATTGAAGGAATTCCTCATCTGTTTCCCTTCTCTCAAGAATCACTGCCCTTCACTGCCTCATATCTGGTGTTTTGAAAACTGTTGCTTTATATTTTGTCCCTTCTTTGTTTATTTTAAATAGGAGAGTGAACCAGGTTTCTTTTAGTTCATCTATCTGAAAAGAACATTAACCTTTGTTTCTATATTAACTACTATAAAATTACACTTACGTTTTTTTCATTGTGCAATAAAGCTGTTTTATGTGAATTAACATTCTTCCTAATCAATTTCATGCTAAAATTGAAGAAAAAAATAAATCACACCACAGCCAAGCTTTATATGTGTATTAGTTGGAGTGTTCCAGAGAAATAAAACCATAAATTGAGACTATAGTCTATAGGTCCTCCATCTATAGGGATATAATATGTATTTATAAATATATATATATATATATGAAAATTTTTATTATGAAAATTGGCTCTGTAATCCCAGCTACTCGGGAGGCTGAGGCAGGAGAATTGCCTGAACCCAGGAGGCGGAGGTAGAGGTGAGCCGAGATTACGCCGTTGCACTCCGGCCTGGGTAACGAGAGCGAAACTCCGTCTCAAAAAAAAAGAAAATTGGCTTACATGATTATGGAGGCTGAGAAACCTCATTATCTGCCACTTCCAAGTTGGAAAACCAAGAAAGCTGGTGAAGTAATTCAGTCTGAGTTAAAAGGCCTGAGAACCCGAGGAGCTAATGATGCCCAGATCAAGGCTGAAGATGCTAGAACCAACAGGAGATAGGTGTGGGGATGGGAGGCTGCTGGTGTAAACCCTGAGCCCAAAGGCCCAAGAACCAGAAGTTATGTCCAAGGGCAGGAGAAGATGGATCTTCCAGCTCAAGAAGAAAAAGAAAAAATGAGCCCTACCTCTGCCTTTTTGTTCTATTTAATGTTCGATGATGTTCACTCACCTTGGTGAGGGCAGGTCTTTCAGATAGAGCCTAATAACTCAAATACTAATTTCCTCCAGAAATTCCCTCTCAGACAAGCCCAGAAATAATGTTTTGCAGGCTACCTGGTCATCCCTTAGCACAGTCAAGTTGACACAAAAAATTGATCACCAAGATATTTTAGAAGTCTGAATTTTTTCTTGAAAAGAAAAATATCCCATACATATCTTGAGGGGGGCTGAGTGGTCATTCTGTAAGTTTAGCTGCCGGGCACGTGTGCTTAAACAGATGGATACATTTCCTGTGGATGTTGGCCTCCAATACCCTTGGAAACAACCAAAAGTGCTTGTAAGAGAAAAGAAATTTAAATCTACTTAATCATTGTTAAATGTACTACAATGATTGCCAGGATTGTCTCCCATAAATCATGAAGGAGACAATTTTGGCCTAAACAAACGTAAAAATAATTGAACTTCCTTCCAAAATTTAGCAGTGATTTGTTGAACCCTACAACTTTCCCCAATAAAGAATCTTTCATTCTTCTTTTGTTCCAGTAATGAGTTTTTTACATTTATGTAAAGTTATCCAAAAGAGAAAACTAACCTATGATGTTAGAAGTTAGGGGAGTGGTATCTTGGATGGAGTGAGAATGCAGTGATCAGGAGATAGAGGGCCATTCTGAGATGCTTTTTAGGCTCCAACTCTCATTCTTCACAGTGGTAACATTGACATGTTATATACGTGCTAACTTTTGAGTCCACTGGTTTGCACATCATAGAAATGTGTTAATTTATTGAGGCCAGTTGTTGCTCATGTTCTTTCCTATATCTGGTGTTAAGTTAAACTACAGTCATGTGTAGCATAAGGACGTGTTGATCATGAACGACCCTTTCTAACAATGGTTCCATAACATTATAATGGGGCTGAGAAATTCCTTTTGCCTAGTGACTTCATAGCCATCGTCATGTTACCACATGATACATTATTCATGTGTGATGATGCTGGTGTATACAAAACTATGAGCTGTCAGTTGTATAAAACTATCACACGTTTACCATTATGTATGGTAAATAATAATAAATGCCTATTACTGATGTATGTATTAGCTATACTATATATTTTATCATTATTTCACAATGTACACCTTCTACTTGTTGAAAAAAAAAGGTTAACTGTGAAAACGTCTCAGGCGGGTCCTTCAGGAGGTATTCCAGAAGAAGACATTGTTATCACAAGAAATGACAGCTCCATGGGTGTTATTGCCCTTGAAGACTTTTCAGTGGGACAAGATGTGGAGATGGAAGACAGGGACATTGATGATCCTGCTTCCGTGTCGGCTTAGGCTAAGGTGTGTCTGTGTTTCAGTTTTTACTAAGAAAATTTAAGAAGTGAAAAAAAAAATTAAAAATCTTACAGAATTAGGGTATAAAGAAAAATATTTTTGTATAGCTGTACAATGTATGGTTTAAACTAAGTTATTACAAAAGAGTCAAAAAGATCAGAAAAATTAAAAGTTACATAGTAAACAGGTTACGGTAAGCTAAGGTGAATTCATTAGTGAAACACGAATTTTTAAAAATAAATGTAGGGAAGCCTAGGTATGCAGTGTTAATTCAGTCTACAGCGGTGAAAAGTAATGTTCTAAGCCTTCACATTCACTCACCACTCTCTCACTGACTTACCTAGAGCAACGTCCAGTCCCGCAAGCTCCATTTGTAATAAGTACTCTCTACAGGGATACCAGTTTTTATCTTCTACACTGTATGTTTACTATGTTTAGATACATTTTGAGTACACAAATACTTATCATTGCGCTAAAACTGCCCGCAATCTTCAGCACAATAAGGTGCTGTATAGGTTTGTAGCCTAGAGCAATCGGCTACATCATATAGCCCAGGTGTGCAGTAAGCTTATATCCTCCAGGTTTGTGTAAGTACACTCCGTTATGTTGCAAATGATGAAATCACCTAATGACGCATTTGTCAGAACACATCCCTGCCGTTAAGCAACACATGACTATATTTTACTACTACTTTATCTACAATAAATGAAACCATTTGTCTCGAACCCTAATCCTTTCTTAATTGATTGGCAAAAAATTTTAATTTGCAATTTTGTCAGAGTGAATGAAGTTAACGTATGAAATTATATTTATTAAAGGTTAACTTATTTTTGCTTTTCCTAATAAGTATAGCCAATGATACTCATATTTTGTATTAATTTACAAATCGAGCTTGCATACTAAAAGCATTAATGTCTGTCAGATAAGATCCTAATATTTTTGTGGTCTGTTGCTGGCATTTGTATTTATGATATTTAAATGTTCGCAAGTTTTAATTTTTACATTTAAATTTTAATTGGTTTATCTGTATAAGTGTTTGCTTGCACTTTAAACTTACAAAGAATTTAACCATTCATAAATAAGTAATCTGAAATATTTTAATATAGTTTATTTTAATGGTGTGATTATGTCTATAAAATATTTTCTTTTGAGCTAATTAACTAACTGCCCCCAAAATAGTAAGTAATTAAAGAAGTAGTATCACTAACTGGGAGAGTTGCAGAATAACTGATTTATTACAAGGATTTGACCTCAGGTAATTTTGGAAACTGGTTATACAGTGTGTGTATGGCTGTGGTGTCTGCATCTGAGACTAGACCTGAAATCAGCAGGCCAAGCAGTGGGGAAGGAATGGCAGACACGAATTAGAAGATAGCAAAGACAAACTGGAACTCACCTTGATGAACTGGATCTCTCCTCTGTGTCTCACTACCTCCAAGCTGCCAGCTTTTGATGAGGTTTGAGATATGCAGGAGAAGCTGGAGGCTCTTGCCATAGAGCTAAACATACGCCTAGCCCTGCAATTAGAGCAGCTGGAGCTAGGAAGCTGATAGGGGCTAAATAAACGGCAGGCCCATTCCCTGCTCCAGCAGCCGCACCTGCCTGCATGATTCCGAGAAAGTAAAAAAACAAGATCTGGCTGATGCTCTGCAAGGCAGGATGCGGCTCCATTTCCACAAGGAGTCAGAATATCGGCGTCAATATGCTTGAACAGCCGCAGTATGCCTGGTGCCTCGCACCAGCATTCGAGTGTGACAGGAAAATAAGTGCCGGTGTACTTCTGCCTTCCAAATCGTAATGCATGCACGCCTCTGGTGGCTGACTCTAATCCAGAACGCTGCAGGAAAGTGAATTATGCATAATGTATTTCCAGCTTAGATAAGAAGACCCAACAAAATCCACTTTAGACTAATGTGTATCTCTCTCTCCCTCCCCCCGCTTTTTTTTTTTTTTTTTTCCTTTCTGTAAGAGATGGTGTCTCACTCTGTTGCTCGGTCACTCAGGCTGGCATGCAGTGGCGTGATCAAAGATCACTGCCGCCTCAAACTCCTGAGCTCAAGAGATCCTTCTCAGCATCCAGAGGAGCTGGGACTACAGGCACGCACTCCCATGCCCGGCTAATTTTTAAAAATTTCTTTAAGAGACAGAGTGTCACCATGTTTTGGGATGGTCTGAGACTCCTGGCCTCAAGCAATCCTCCTGCCTTGGACTCCCAAAGTGCTAGAATTTGCAGGTTTGAACCACCACTTCTGGTCCAGACTAAAGAATATCTTAAAATAAAAACACATGTACCCTTGTCTAATGCACACACATAAATATAGCTATAATTAGTCTCATTGATGTTTGTAAGTTGTAAAACTCATTATGTATCTTTTAATTTTTTTACATTTTTATTATTTTAGCTTTAATAATTTTTATAGCTACATACAATGGCATGGATCATTCACAAACTTAATGTAATTAGAAATAAATAAATAGCAGATTGTTCCAATTGTATGAATTTCAAATAAACATTTGAAACAAATCTATGCATTAGAAGACAAGATATTATTACCTTTAGAAAAATGAGTGAAGCGAATTATTAAAAGAAGACCTAAAGAGTGCTTTTGGTATGTTGATAACGTTTTATTTCTTGACCTAGGTGGTGATTATCTAGATATATTGATTGTGTGATAAGCTAGCAACCTTTACTCGTGATTTGTGCATTATGCCAGTGTATATACATTATTACCATAAAAACTGTTAAACTGCCATGGTATTTTTAGGGTAGAAAACTAAAATGTTTCAAATCATCTGTATTGTGAAATGCACATTGGAATGGTATTAATTTTGTAACCCATAACTGTATGATTATTATAATTTATTTTAAGAAAAGCAGTCCTTAGTTTAGATCAACTATCTTTAAATTTGCCTAAAATTTTAACCATTTAAAATCACATCTTATGTCACTATCAGTTTATTGTTCAAACCTATATTATTCTAATTATCTTTCATATGAGTATTTCTGTGTAATCAAGAATTATAGTAAGCCTTTGTTTTAATAAGGGGAGATCTTAAAATGGGTTAGAAAAATCTCCTTCATTTCAGTATAAGGCCCATAATGACCCTAAAATATATAGCTCCCTTTTTCTTTCTAGGAGACATCTTTGATGTCTTCTTGCCCTTTCCTCTCACATTTGAGTAATTTCCAAATTACTTTAAACATATTTAACCTTTTAATCTTTTTATTCTGCCTATCATCATTCTAGTTAATATTCTTATACCAGTTGATAGACTGTGTATATTATTTCCTCTCATATAGCTACCCCTAATCTGTCTGATTGACATTCCTTAATTTTAGTCTGTCTTCCAGTTCTTTCTACACATTCACAACAAGCCAGTTTGTTTAAATCTTTTCCTCTGAACAAATACTTACTAATTCTCCAGTTCTTTTATTAAAAAGTTTGAAATTCCTGAATTGGTTTTGAAAGTTCTCTACGAATCGGCTCTATACCCTTTTATCCACATATCAGTTTCCTCTACAAAGAGTCCTCTTGGGCTTCCAGAATTTACCATTTTAACGGAGGAAAGGGGCACAGGGAAGGTGTAGAACTGTTTTAAGACATCAAATTTAGCCAGCCAAATAATGGGGGAAATGTAGTACAATGAAACAATGTGTGTGTGTGTGTGTGTGTGTGTGTGTGTGTGTGTGTGTGTGTGTAAAACTTATGTCTTAGAAAAGATCAGAGAATATGAAAAGTATACTTTGCAATAAATATTTTACTATACATAGTTTTTAAATTAAGTTACCCAAAAATGGAGATAGGACCCATAGTTGCAAAATGGCATTATTTGGCTTGTAGTCACTGCTTTCAGGGTTACTGTGCTCTTTAGGGCTGTGAAATTGGGGACATTTTTGATAATATAGCTAAGTTACTGGATAGGAAAGATAACAGGATTCAAGGAAATTATGTTCCCAGTAATACTTACTCTAATGGCCTTTGTATTTTAAATCTTTGGATACCAAGATAGCAGAAAGGATGCACAAAGCAGACGCATCTCAATTGCCTTGACCTGTATTTCTGACTAATTCTTAAACATCTTCCAATCCAGATCTAGATTCCTATCAAATTTGACAAGGGACTAGCATTAGAGGAATCTGAAACCTTTTTCAGAGTAGAAAATGCAGCAATATATTTGAGAAGCCAAATCAGAGAGATGTAGCATATAAAAAAGAAAGGGGGAAGGGTGCTGAAAAAGTATGGAAAAGTATTGCCAAAATTAAACCTTAAAAAGCTGCTTCTTGAGTAACTAGCAAAAAGAAATATAATAGCAGATGGCATTAAACGGGCAGTAACTTTCAATTTTCTTTTTCCTTCTGTCATTATCTAAACTGTCAACTCACATAAGAAAATCCAAGGAAGATATATAAGGAATAAGAAGACACAATTTCTAGGGAGAATAAAAAATGTGTGAGCAATGGATAACTTGAATCTATTTGGATATGCTTAAGTTCACAGCTCCAGTGATGTCAACACTAGAATATATATAGTTACCAAAAGTTATTAAAAAGTTATTAACAATTATTTCTTATAAATCAATAAAATATACAGACACTAAGCCTGAAAATGCGACAGTAGTATTTTTCTATTAGGTGAGATAAAAATCATGTCTTTCTCATAATTTTAATTTATTTTTACCAGATATTCCTGAATTTCTACTCTATTCCAGGTTCTGAACCAGAAAATAGAGAGCAAAAGGAGACTACATCTGGCTTACCTAAGAAGATAATAGATTTGTGGTGGAAGGAGGATTATAAAATTGAGAGTATAGTAGAAAGCCCTCATTTATAGATAAGTCCAAGGTGTTACACGGAAGAGAAAATATCAGCGTTTATTCTAAGGAGATATACAAATACGTCTTACACAAGAAATAGCATCATAATAGACAGGAAGAAATCTGAAGGACATAGGGAGCAGCATGGAGTGAACCTAAATAAGCATGGCGTATTTAAACAATGAGGGGAATAGTGTAGTAACTGGGCTATAGGACACACAAACATGAAATAGGGAAGGAGAAAATGGTAGGAGGTAAGATTTTTAAGTTAATGTGTGCCAAGATTCTATGTATGATGAGAAAGAGCTTAAGTGTTTTATCTTTAAAACCTTATGAGACACTTCCTTTTTAAGAAAAAAATCGGCCGGGCGCGGTGGCTCAAGCCTGTAATCCCAGCACTTTGGGAGGCCGAGGTGGGTGGATCATGAGGTCAAGAGATCAAGACCATCCTGGTCAACATGGTGAAACCCTGTCTCTACTAAAAATACAAAAAATTGGCTGGGCATGGTGGTGCATGCCTGTAATTCCAGCTAGTCAGGAGGCTGAGGCAGGAGAATTGCCTGAACCCAGGAGGCGGAGGTTGCGGTGAGCCGAGATTGCACCATTGCACTCCAGCCTGGGTAACAAGAGAGAAACTCCATCTCAAAAAAAAAAATTATGTTTATTTGGAGGTGGTACAATAGCAATGAAAATAATTTATATATACATCTGTTACCAACATACACATGGCCACAGCAGCTTCAAAAATCATTGTTGGGGCCAGAAGGTTGGCCTTCAGTGTGACACCTGTAGAGCATAGACAGACACACAAAGAAGTGGACTTACAGGAGCTGTGACTGACTGCTTCTCCAGAGTGGCAAGAGGAGAGTGGTAGAGGCAAGGCCTGCTAGATAAGACCTCTCCATGTGGAGTGCCCAGGAGCATGGAATGTTAGGGGTTAAGCTGAGTACTTGGCTGAAGAGCAAAGTGTTCTTCTATGAACCATAAGAAGGAGTTTCTATGCACAGGCAGTAATAAATCACCACGTTTTAAAAGCAGTTGAATAATGAGTGTGTGCAAGACAACAACATTTATAGTATGAGAGGAAGTAATTGCTCGAACCAAAGAGAATCACTGAGAATAGAGACATGAGTTTAAATGTTAGCATTTGGGTAACAGTTGTATCAATGCAGCATGTCCTCTATTTAAAGAACAGGTGGATGCAAGGTAGTGCTTTTGGTCAGGATCTTTAGTAGAGTTTAGTTAAACTTGGAAGTGAAACCAAGGGAATCTATTCAATTCCCAGGTCCACAAGGGGGCATATTTTCAAAGGCAAGAACCTCCCACCACCATACCTCTACCCACCTCTCCATCCAGGATCTTAAAGGTCTTTGTCTAAACTTTCGATCACGTGGGGGAAAAAATCAAAGGTCAATCACTCCAGTGGAAGTTTAAAGGAATTCCTTTCATAGGCCTAAAAACTTAAATGGGGTGGGAATTCCTCCCAGGTTAAAAGTCACCTTCTTCCTCATCTGGGTGGACTCCATATCTGGATCCCCTCTCACAATACCTGAGAGCTTCTCTATCTCTATTTTCTTTCTCCTTTTTCTCTCTCTCTGTCTAAATAAATCATTTTCTGCAAAACTCTTTGGGGTCCAATATTTTCTTAAAAGCACACTGTGTCCGATGGGGTCCTCCCTCCCATTCTTCAGAGAGTGAGAGACCAAGGGCCTGGAAGAACACAGCCCATCAGGGAGTGTCCTCTCCTGATTGGCAAGCCAGCCAGGAGTGCAGCATAAGAAACTGTTACTTCAGAGTGGTAAGTCATGTGGGATGCCTCTCATTTGCTAAAATCTGTCCTATCAATTTAAGGAGAAAGCACAGGGCACAGAGCCCACCGGACCGGTGTGGGACTGTGGGGGTTTCAGAGGTGTCTGTAGGATTCTCTCTCTCTCTCTCTGTCTCTCTCTCTGTCTCTCTGTCTCTCTCTCTCTCCCCTGCATTTCTGGGTCAAGTACCTGTGGGAGGCAGGCAGGCACATGCTACCTGCAGAAACTGGATGGGCCGGCTGTGCATCTGGGCCATGTGTCCAAGCAGTAGACTAAGCCCGTAGCGGGTGGAGCA